AATCTGAGCTTAGTCTTATTGTTTCTCCTCTGTATGTGACTTCTTGTTTTTCACAAGCTGCTCCCAGAATTCTTTGTCTGTCTTTGGTTTTGGCAAGTGTGATTATGAAATGCCTTGGTGATTTTCTTTTGGCGTCTATCCTATATGGGGTTCGTTGAACTTCTTGGATTGCCAGGTTTTCATCTTTCATGATATTAGGGAAGTTTTCTGTCAGCAGTTCTTCAATGATCCTCTCTATGTTTTCTGTTTTCTCCCCGTTCTGGAACTCCAATCACTCGTAAATTTTTGCTTTTGATTGTATCCCACATAATTCTCAGGGTCTCTTCATTTTTCTTTGTCCTTTTTTGTGAGTTTTCCTCAAACAGAGTTGTATCCAGGTGTTTATCTTCAATTCCACTGATCCTGTCTTTCACTGTTTCAAATCTGCTCCTTAGCCCTTCTATGACACTGTCCATTTCTGAAATCTTGTTGTTTATCTTTTGGATTTCTAATTGTTGTTTTTGTATAATTGTTAGTTGTGAATTTATTTTGGCATTTTGTTCCTGCATTATTTTCCTGAATTCTTCCATTTTTTTGTCGGTACTTTCCATGAATTTGTCTATTTTTTCCTCATTTTTGTCTGCTTTTTGCTTCAACTCTTGGATAATTCTGAGTATTAAGAGATTTGAATTCCCTATCAGGTAGTTCTAAGTGCCTTTTCTTCACTGGAAAGTCATCTGGTGTTTTATTTTGGATGCCTACTGGAACCATCCTGTCCTGTTTTTGTGAATGTTTCGCTATTGTCTGCTGTCTTCGAGGCATTCAGTAGTTACTTTTCTTGTTTATTGCTTGTAGATTTGTTTGTTTTGTCCTTTTTTTGTTTAATTCAGTTATGTCTGAGCAGGCAAGCTGTGTGTTCTTTGTTGCCTGCTCGTCTACGGGCACGATACTCTTCGCCTCCTCCAACTGGTGGGGTCAGTTGCTCAGATATGGTACAGCAGGGCAGGTCTAGCTGAAAAAGAGTCGCTAGGATGGATTGTTTGTGGCACTTAGTACAGCCACCAGGGCGGTCGGTAATCAGTGCAGGGCAGATGCCAGTAGGCCACGCCTGTCCTGCTTGGTGGTGTGATGTTAAATGCGTGGTGAAGGTAGGCAGGATGAAGGGGGGAGATTGTGATGTGTGGAGCTAAGATGGGTATGGGAGAGAAGAGAGAGGAACAGGGGCCAAAAACATACAAACAAAAAAGAGTGCTAGGGCAGCTTGCTGTTGGGAGTGGAGAGATGAGAGACTATGAAATGGGAAAAAAAAAAAACAAGAAGAGGAAGAAGAAGAGGATAAAAAAAGAAAAGAATGAATAAATAAAAATTAGAAAGAAAAAAGAACAGCAAAGCTTCCAGGGATACGACTGGTATGGCTACAAAGTCTGGGGAAGTTGTTCCCAGGTGCCAAAGTACAGCCTGGCTAGAATGCGTAGAGGTATTCAGCGCCAGGTATTCAGGGGACAGGAAGAGAAGGAAGGTACAGAGAGACAAGAAACTGAGTAATGAAGAAAGAGAAAGAGGGAAAAGAAAACAAAACAAATTTTAAAAAAAGAACAAAAAAAGCCCCCCAAAAAACAGGAAAAAAAAAAAAGAACCACGAAAAAAGAAATGTGCTCAGGGATCCCTGTGCGCGTTTGCGCAAGCTGAGGGGGTAGGTCCCGAGCTGCGTAGTGCTGCCCGGCCAGAACTGGCTCCCAACTCGAGAAAAGGAAAAGAAAACAAACAATTCAAAACAAGCAAACAAAAAAAAAGCCCCAGGATCCCACCAGCGTGGTAGCACAGACTGGGAAGCAGTTCCACAGTCGAACAGAGCTCCACAGCCCCTTAGGAAGAAGCAAACATGGCACCTGTAGCCAGGTATTTGAGCAGAAGGTGGGGGAGGTGGTGAGAGGTAAGGAAGAAATCAAAAGAAGTGGAAAAAAGCAACATCAGCAGCCAACAAATGGCACTCAGGGAGTCAGCCAGGGCAGGCGGGTGGAATCCAAGCAGCTGGTGCTTCCTGGCCAAGAGACTGTGGCCACAAGAAGCAGAGGAGGCCAAGTGGGGGTGAAGAAGGGTGGGGGTTGGGAAAGTGTATATCGCTGTTTACCAGTTGTTCTGTCTCCTGCTGGAAGCTCCGTGAAGCTGCTTTCTCATACCTCTTGTTCGCTGGTCTCCGAAAGGAGTCCAAGATGGCGGATCCACGCTGCGTTAGCTGATAGGGGACCTCTGCAGGAACTTCTCCTCACTCTCCATTCTCTATCAGTTTCTCACTCCATTTGGTGTTTGGCTGAGTTCTTTTACTCTTCATGTGATGTTTTAGGATTTCAGGATTGCTGTATTCTCTGTTTGGCTTAGTTTTTCAGATCTTTGCTGTGGAGGGATGGCGTGGTGCTTCTGCCTAGAGCGCCATGTTGCCGGAAGTCTCCATAAATATTTTAATATTTCTGCATGGTAGAGGCTTTCTCAGCAAAAGACCCTGGCAAGCTGACTGAACAGTAAAGGTCTTGGAAGGTATAAATACCATCTTTGTAAAGATAGAGATTTCTAAGAGATTTGGAGATGTAAAGCTCTCTACTTCCCCTTCCTGAAGACGTATGCTTAAATTCACAGGGTAATAAACCAAGTGACATCCTTCCCCTCAACCACAGAGGAGATATGCCTAATGACAGAGGACAGGATGGGTAGCTGTATCAGTAGTCCCTATATAAGTCCCATAATTTAGGGGTTTTCACTAACATCTGGCTCTCACCACATCACCCTGTGGATTAGGGCTCAGCAAACCAGCGCTAAAGTATTGCTCTGGCTGCTGCGTTTTTCATGAGTAATAAACCATCTGTTTCTCTGATCCAGAAAGCTTCGGGTCTCCTGTCATAACACACAGACACACACACACACACACACAGACACACAGACACACACACAGACACACAGACACAGACACAGACACACACACAGACACACACACACACACACACCCCCCTTGTAAGCAGGGTAACTCTCAGACCCTTCACAGTTTCTGACTTAACATACTTATGATAAAAACTCACCACAGTCCTACCACTTAGAGATATTCATGATTCATATTCTGAATTTTCTAACTTTCCATATGAACATCTGGTACTTTTGATTTTTAAAATTGTTAAAAGTTCAACTTTTTCTTTTTTTTAAAGAAGGCCAAGCAAACCAAACCCACTGTCACTGAGTCAATTCCACCTCATACTGACCCTACAGGACACAGCAGAACTGCCCCAAAGGGCTTTTAAGGGTGTAAATCTTTACAGGAGCAGATCATCGTATTTTTCTCCTGCAGAGCCCTGGTGGGTTCAAACCGCTGACCTTTTGGTTAGCAGCTAAGCTCTTAACCACCATGCCACCAACACTACTAAAGAAAGCAACATCTGTGAAATCTTCTCAGGCAATTAAGGCAGAAAACAAATCTGGAAAAGAAAGGCTTAAGAGTCATCAAGAAAAAGTAAAAGGGAAACAAGTACACAAACGTGATTTAAAAAGAAGAGGTGACAAGCTACAAAAGGTGCATTAACTCAGAACAAAGATGGAAAAGAAAACCTGCCAAGGGAGATGTCAGAAAGACTCAAGATCCTTGTGGACATTACTGAATGAAAACTTGTTTTATAGACCAAGGTGAGCATATGGGAATGTCTTTTGATTTTATAAAAACAGTACAATCTAATACTGCATCAAAGTCTAACTGCAAATCATCACAAAGAACCCTCAGAGCAATGCAAGAGGTGTTTTCTGGAAGGGAATAAATTAAAACATACCCTGATTATCCTGGCAGCCTCCAAAAGGATTCGGCAACGCTCCATGCCAGATTTTTGACTCCATATTTTAAAGGCAGACTTTGCACTTTGAATAGCCAAATTTACTTCCTTTTCTCCTGAACATGTGAAAGTAGCTATCACACGACCTATGAAGAGGGGGAAAGTCAGTGTTATCTCAAACTGTTGTCACACATTTAAATAAAGTATTACGTATTCAGATTCCTCTTAGTGATCCCCTCCCTTCTTGCTTTTAAGTATGGTTTGATTCAGTGATCACCCCTATACCAGCACTTCTTAACTATTTTTGGGGGTCATGGACCCTTTTAAGAATCTAATAAAAGTTGCAGATCTCTCTTCAGAAAAATCTACTTACCCACATCAGAGAATTACAGAGAACTCATGTTCCCTGCCCTAAGCCCACCATGGATTTAGGGTTAAGAAACCCTGCCATCCTCTATTCTATACTTGGGTTTATTAACATTAACTTTCTATAAGTCATTTGGCAACACTCCTTAACACTTTGAGAATCTCACGGGTCTTACAAAGTCTAAGTTGAAAGTAATGATTCCTGCATTATGAACTCTGATTTTTAAAACCCTTGTCTATGCTCTATGTAAGTTATACCAATGACACTTGATGAACATGGTTAATAAAAAGCAGTATAAAGAAAAGATGTCCCTAACAGTTATACATACATAATATACACACATATATATGTACGCAAGTATTTTTTTTCCCCAAATATAGACAAATCCAGTCTCTCCCTTTCTTACTTCAACTTTACCCTTCCCTATCCCTATTCTGGAACAAAATATGACATGATCAATTTTTCTAGACTCTTATCCCCAGGGCTGTGACTTTTTCCCCCAAGAATTCTATTATCAGTTCAGCAGTTCCTTTTCCCCTCCCACAAAAGCTCCTGGCACTATGCTTTTTCCAAAGAGATTTCACAAATCTGCCATTTCTGCTACAAACTTGAATAGCAGGTTGGTAAAGAAAGTGACTGAAATCATACATAGTGCAAGTACTTGAGACAAAGGGCATTGTTTGTTTATTCTGTACCACTATTGGAAGGAGAGAGTAGTTTCCTTATACGTCAAAGAGAAGGGTGATAATCTGTGGCCCCTTCCTGCTGTGACAAGCTACAGCTCTGAGGTTTAGTGTGGTTGGTCATCCTCAATTTCCCTGTCCCTTGCAATTCAGTTTTAGCATTCTGGCTACATGCCATTCTGGTTTGCACGAAACATTTTCCTCCCCATAAATATTCCATAAAACCCGGCTAAACAAACAAATAACTCTTCCTCCTTAGCTTTGTGATCTTCAGAATAAATCTAGCGCCCGCCTAGCAGCGTGCAGAAAACATTATAAACATTAAAGGCGAGGTTCTTTTCTTTCCCAATTCTGATTCACGTACAGAAATATTGTGACACTAGAGAATGGCTCGAGGTCCTCATTCATGTTCATGAAAAATTATCTGTGTACTCCCCAACATTCTCAGCACAAATGTGTATCAGGGCCTCCACGCGTCCTTCTGGAAATCCTTTTCCATGCACGCAGCTGCAGATATTACAGCCGACGTAGCTTTACAAATTAATAATTAACAATGGCACAACTGTTGCATCGGGACTTTGTCATCCCACCATGGCAACTCACTACCTTCTCCCTTTTTCTACGACTCCCTTCCTGTTCTCGCCGGATGTGATGCACAGAATTGTAGGGTGCCTAAACATAAAACTTTACATTCTCACTTATCTGTGTTCAATGAATGTTTGCTGAATGCACTAAAATGGAGGTTCGGGGCAGTAAAATATGTGCGCCACTGGGATGGGGGAGCGTCAGCCCGCGCCCCGGCCCCCGCCGCGTTCCCCGCCCAGTTACCCGTTGCCGGTTCGAACGCCTTCTCGGTGCCGGAGGCGTCTGCCGGCTCCACCCGGGACCCGCCGCGGTAATTGAGCGGCTGCGACACGACGAAGGTGCCAGTACTCATAGTGGCAACAGAAGCAGGCTGAAAAACGCGAAGAAGCTGAGACTTTGCGGACAGGCCTGCTCTGAAAAACATGGAGGGCGGCGCCACCGCCAAGCTCAGAGTTGACGGTCCAAGAGATGAGCCCGGGCCTCCCTGTTGTTGCGCGCAGCTGAGGTCGAGGTCCGGGACAGAGCGGGTGGCGGGGCGGGGCCTCACGGGAGCTGCGTGCCGCTAAGCTAGGAGGAGGGGTGAGCTGCGGGGCGTGGCCTCCAAGGGGTGGGGCCTGGGAGGTGAATCCGCGGTACTGGTATAGACAAGGATCCCCGGTGGCTCAATGGTTAAGAACTGCGCTGCTAACCAAAAGGTCGACAGTTCAAATCCACCATCTACTCCTTGGAAACACTATGGGGCAGTTCTACTCTGTCCTATAGGGTCGCTAAGAGTCGGAATCGACTTGACGACAACAGGCTTGGTACTGCCATACGGTGCTTTACATTTTGCCTAGCATTTTCGGGAACATTATAGGATCCCATTCTTGATCCTATCGCCTAAAGAAATCAGAGGACTGGAGCTCTCGCTTGCCAAGAGTATGACTTTGGAGGTTACTTCACTCTTGATCCATCGTTTCTTTCTCTGTATAATACTTTTTAAAGGGTTACTGTAAAGACCAAGGGATGTACTGTCAAGTAGGTATGAAGCATTGTGATGTGAAACTGCTTTTTAAATTCTAAAAGAGCAATGTAAGTGCTATTAATGACAGATAGTGACACAAACAGAAGCCCAATGTACAGCAGGCAAGGAGCAAAGTCACGTGAAAAGGTCTGAGGAATAAAAAAGCCTTCTGTACTGGAACCTGCCGCTCAGGATTCACAAGGTCTCAGTCAGCGAGGGATCTTACATAGACAACCTTGTTTATTCTTCATACTGCATTCCCATGCATGTGCAGCAGAGTCTCTTATGAACAGAAAGTAACTGGCAGTTTGAATGTTGTTTTTTACAGTCTTGTTTCTCTTCTAGGCGCTGGAGCCTTTCTCAATGTTCTTTCCTTTACCTGTTGTTGTTATTTGTTGTTAGTAGTCATTCAGTCATCTGACCAGGGACGGATTACCCAGTAAGCAAGGTAAGCACGCGCGTAGGGCATCAACAAAACAGGGGCACCAGTTGTCCGAAGAAAAGGCCCATAGATGCCAAGCAGACAGGACACAAGGAAAAGTTAGCACTGCAGTGGAAGGGAACTGGCAGAGCAGTAAATGAGACTGATACCAGCTCCAGTGCTGAGAATGTGCCAGCTGGAAATAAAGTTCATGCAGGATCACAAGGGCACCCACGTGCAATGTTGTTTAAGCTTGGAGGCCCCTACCACTTCAACACCTGCATTGACGTCTGTCTTCTACGCTCCCGTCTCATGAAATTGAAATGCCTTACCTCGGAGGGTCTCCTGGAAGTGTGTTTTTTCTTTCTAATAAACAAGAGGAATGCGTGGGCTGTCGCATCTGACTCTTGCTACATTCACCCAATATGCAGCTGGATCCAACATGAGCAGTTACTGGGCAAGGATGAATTATGTTAATAGATAACAGATCTCTAACCATTTTAAGAGAACTTTTCTTGTATATCCACGTCAGCTAATCCAGCAACTCCAGCCCAGAGGGCCAGCAGTGCTCTTTGCCATGATATAAACACAAGGGTATACTCTTGCACATTTCCTGGTAAACAGCCGACGGGAACTCCTGTCCCAGATGATGTGCAAAAGCGAGAGAACTCAATAAGTCAACGATTGCAATGAATTAAATCAAGTTACTTTTTAATTGTATAGCATTTATGTATAAAGTTGTGTCCTAAGTTTTGTAAACAATATTATTTATAACTTTAACTTTAAAATATGTTTGGCATACATGTAGATGCAATCTAGCCTACATTTAATATAATACTAACATGGATAATAATTTAATATAATACTAACATAGCAAACGTCCAAAAAATACTGGAAATATTTATATTTATCTAACACGAAAAGTTTTAATTCATGTATTGAGTGAGTTTTGTTTTTTATTTTATGTTGCACAGACACAATGCTTGATATTACTCTAATATGCTAATAAATGAGGTATTAGGTGCATTAAGAGGACAAAAAATTCAATATTTATTTTTCATGCAAAATGTTTCTGTTTTGCAACAGCGTGTGTTTCTAAATTTGTCTTCCAAGAAAGCAACAAAGGGCATTTATCAGAACATTACATTTATGTTTTATTAGAATATTTATACATCTCCATGTAAGGAAATTGAACAATTCCTCGAGGAAATAAATTAATGAATATTTAGAAAATAAAAATTATATAAGTGTATTTTATTTTCCATTTCCCTTCAGGACGATTTTCTTTTAAGAAATTAATTGGTATTGTTATGACTCACAAAACAAACTTGCTCATCAAGAAATGGTGCTATTTTCACATCAATTATGTATGTATCTCCAAATGTAAGGATTGAACAATTCCACAAAGAAATAAAATGTACATTTTATAAATTTTGTATAATAATTATATTTTCCTTTTCATTTTGGATCAATTTGGTATAACTTTGCATTCAGTTTTCTCTTGCCAACCACATAAGAACACACCAGAAGCACTATAATCACATGACTTGTGACGTACCTGGTCCTGTCCTGCACAAAGCAAACCAAAACACGTCTTCAGATTGAGCATACCCTTGTATTTGAATCATGCCCTTTGTGATCGCTCTCACCCCTGTTGGATATCAGCAGTAGCCCAGTGAGCTGTAAATTATTGGATGGAAAGAGGGCCAAGTGATTGTCAACATCATAGTGGACCATTTGAAAATCCATGTTGAAAATTTCTGAATGGTAAACAAACAAGGTTCTGTAGCCAGAATATATTTCTAGGGTGCAAAGCCAATAGTGAAAAATAAAAGGGAGTGGCTACTTTATTCTCCATCAGTTGACTATGTGTATTGTTTTGTTTGAAAACTATTCAGTCCTAAATAATTTAATTCTCAGTTTGCTACAGATGGATTTAGTGATTGGCAAAACTCGAATATAATTGATAAACATGAAAACAGTTCAATTCATAGAGATTCTATGTTGTCGTATTTAAGCCGAAGACATATTTTGGCTTAACTCATGAACTGGAAACACAAATTAATGAAGAATATCAATATCGGAAAGCCATTTTGCAACACCTTGTTTCTGTCACTATAACAATCACTGAATGTGGACTATCTTTTCAAGGAACAAATGAAGTGTTTGGTTCCCCAAAATGGAAATTTTAGGGGTTTACTTGAACTTGTTGCTCAGTTTGATCCATTTTTAGCAGGTCACATCTGAAAATATGGTGACACAGGAAAGGGCAACCCATCGTATATGTCTATAACAACGTGAAGAATTAAACATAATAAGCGATAGAGTTCGACTAACTATTTTCAGTAAAGTAAGTATAGGTTGTCTTAGTCATCTAGTGCTGCTATAACAGAAATACCACAAGTGGATGGCTGTAGCAAAGAGAAATTTATTTCCTCACAGTAAAGTAGGCTAAAAGTCCAAATTCAGGGCATCAGCTCCAGAGGAAGGCTTTCTCTCTCTGTCGACCCTCTCATCAATCTTCCCCCAGACTAGGAGCTTCTCTGCGCAGGGACCCTGGGTCCGAAGGACACGCTCTGCTCCCAGCACTACTTTCTAGGTGGTATGAGGTCCCCAATTCTCTGCTTGCTTCCCTTTCCTTTTATCTTTTGTAAGATAAAAGGTGGTGCAGGCCACACCCTAGGGAAACTCCCTTTACACTGGATCAGGGATGTGACCTTAGTAAGGGTGTTATACAATCCCACCCTAATCCTCCTTAACATAAAATTACAATTACAAAGTGAAGGACAATCACACAATACCAGGAATCATGGCCCAGCCAAACTGATACACACATTTTTGGGGGACATAATTCAATCCATGACATAGGTCAATATTTTAGTTTGTCTGTAGATTCCGCTTCTGATCTTTTTCATACAGATCAGCTAAGTATTGTTTTAAGATACATGTCTCCAACAGATGGAAAACTGTCAAGCAATTTATCACATTTACTAGCTTAAAAAGTCATACAGGTGAAGAAATTGCAAATGAAGTACTTCATTATTTATGTGAAGTTTGCAAAATTGATTTTTCTAAGTGCAGAGGCCAGTCCTATGACAGTGCTGCCAATATGTCAGGGTGTTACAAAGGCATGCAACAGAAAATTTTAGAACGTAATGAATATGCCATTTGCATACCATGTGCTGCGCATCCGCTTAATCTTATAGAACATAGTATAGTAGAGTTTTGTCAGGAAGCAGTTGATTTTTTTTCTACTGTTCAGTTACTCTACACATTTTTTGCCGCCTCTACCCATTGATGAGTCATTCTTAAAACATATTTAGGCAATGATCAAGTATTAATATGTCTTCCTAATGCACGTTGGGAAGCATATGCTGTAGCAATGAGTGCAATCCTGGCAACGTACACTCAGATTCTAAATACCTTAGAAAATATTGCTGAAGAGCAGACACAAAAAGGAGAGACCAAAAGAAAAGCTGAAAATATCACCAACAAAATGCAAACACTACAGTATGTATTTATGTTGGTCATATGGAATAATATACTGCAGCATTTTCATCAGATACGTCAAGCTTTTCAAGATTCAGAAGTAAATTTAAAGACGTGCACGTATCTCTATCAGTCATTAACAGGGTATTTATGTACTTTAAGAGATTTTGAAAATTTTGAAAACACAATAAAACAAATACTGCCAAATACTGATAATCAAGCAGTTCACCATTGCAGAAGCATTAGAAAGAACATGTAAATGATGGAAGTGCTCCAGAAGTATTGAGTGCCAGAGATCAATTTACATAACCACATACTATGCCATCATTGACCACTTAAATCTTGCATGAGAAGAAGGGCAAAAGTGTATAAAGTTCTTTCAAATAGATTTTCCTTCTTAAACATTGTGGATGTACCTGATGAAGAATGTATGAAGACATCCAAGAAATTAGTGCAGGCTTATCCAGATGACTTAAATACAAACCTTTACAGAGAAGTGTGACAATTTCATTCTTACATGAGAACTAAGTTTACAGATTCAGGAAAGACATGTATGTAGGCATGTATGATTCCATAATAGAAGA